CAAATGAACGATTTTTTATCATTCATTTGGAATGATAATTTCATCATTTTAATTGAACGATTTTCTTATTGTTCATTTTGAATAATAATTTTAATCATTCTAAATAAACAATTCTTTTTTCGTTCGTTTAGAACAATAATTTCATCATTCCAATTGAATGATTCTTTTATCATTCGTTTAGAATAATAATTTAATCGTTCAAATCAAATGATCCTTTTATCATTCATTTGGAATGATAATTTTATTATTCCAAATGATCCAAAATTTCAGATTAATCCAAAATTTTTAGTTCAGTTCAGATTTTTTTCGATTCGAATTAGATTTATAATCTGAAAAAAATCTGAACTGAACTGAAAATTTTCGGATTGAAATTTTTGCAATCTGAAACTAAATCGAAGTTGATCTGAACCAAAAATTTTCAGATTAATCTAAACCATTTGGTACTTTAGATTTTATTAAGAAATAAAAAATTTAGTATTGTTATATTTTTGGTATATAAATATTATTAGTATTTATATTGTTAGTAATAAAAAGTAATTGAATTCTCTAATTGACTGTGTAATTGACTTATCAAAATTATCTACCTTAATCAAGTCTTAAAGCTATTCTATTTATACTAAATCTACTAATATAAATAAATAAAATACTAATTAATTAAAATAATAAATAATTAATAATATAAAAGAATAAAGTAACTTCTGGATTTTTTGTGTAATATTTATTTAATTTATTTCTTTCATCTTTATAATCTTTATCATCTAATATAGTACAATTAAAATAACTTCTAATTATGTATATTATGTTATGTTAACTGATCTTTTGAATTAATATCTTCTTATTACAATACTTATATAACATAAATAGGGCTAGTATATATATGAAGTATATCAATCTACTTATGCTACTTAACATTGTTTTCTATTAGAAAATTTTATTAAGTATAGATTTTTGATATAAATTAATTAATTATGCAAAATTGATATTCTTAATTAAAAATATTTTCTAATATAAAATAATCTTTAAAATCTATAATTTTAACATTTATGGTTAATAAGTAATAGACTTTAAACCTAAAAAATAACTATTTGCATTTCTTTTAGTAGCTATTAACTTACTTAACTAACAATTATATTCCATTTTATATAGTTTAAATTAAACTTGATTTAACAAAGATCTACATCTTTTATTTTTTAAAAAATTTCTAATTTTTTTGTGTTACACTATAATTAATATAAATATTAATATATATTAAAATAATATTATATATTATCAATTATATAATATAAGCTATATTTATTATCAATAATAATAAATAAATTAATATTTTTACTTATTTTATAATTAATTTAATATATATTAACAATTTATATTTAATATTATAATTTAATTTATAAATAAAAGTTATTTGAGTAATTACAAATTGTATTTTTTATAATATTTACTTTATATACAATGTTACTAAATAAATATTTCATAAAAATTATAATAATATGATATAATTATAAAAGAATTATAAATAAATTTAATTATTTTTATCTATTATAAAAATAAATTAATATAAATAAATTAAAATATTTAGATCTAATTTTGTATTTAAATTACTTATTTATATCATCATTTGTAATATTTAAAACTTCTATTAAATTAAAATATATATGTTAAATTAAAGAAATTATTAAACTATATATATATTATAATAATTATCAATACTTTGATTAATTTTTAAACTTTTAATTTCATAGTCTAAAATTTCATTTAATTTTTTAGTAAAATCAAGTAAATGACTTGTATGAAATACTTGAGGATAATTTATAGTAACACTTAAATTATTAATTTAATTTTAACTTATTGCTTTATCTGCTTTATAAAAATTTGTAATATTATTTTTTAATTTCTTACTAAAGTTTTTCTTTTTGATTTTTATACTAATTATTAATAACTTTTTTAATTTCTAATGCAGTTAATCTTTTTGATAATTCTATATTCCAAAATTTTTCATTAAGTTTATATAATATTGTGAAATATTTTTAATAATTTGAGATTATTTACCTTTGCAAATATTTAAACTAAGTTAAAAATCATAAGCTTCATTATTAAATAGAGTAATCTTTGATATTAATTCCCACATAATCATAGAAAAAATATATATTACTAGTTAAAGTATAAGGTTGACCTATTAAAACTTCAGAAGCTACAAATGGTAAAATACCATAAATTTCATTTTTTTTAGATGTTTAAAAATAATTTATAGGTTTACATAATCCTAAATCACTAATAGATAAAATCTATTTTCTAATATTTAAAATATTATCATGATGAAAATTATAATGAATTAGATATTTTTGATATAATTTCTTAAGTCTATTAATAATATTATTTAATTGTAATAAATTTATCCTTAACTATATTTGATAAATTTTTTCTCAAATTATTATTTTTTGCATATTTCATTACTATTATATAATCTAAAGTATTTAAATTTGAGTAAATCCATATAATTGAATAAGATTTTTATCTGAATATCTTTTTAATTTACTATAAAATTTATAATTATATTTTCACTAAAATAAAAATAAATTAATTTAAAAACTTATTATTTAAAATTAAATATAGTTATTAATTTATATCTTATTTAAAAATTCTTCATTTAAATTAAATGAATTATTAAAACTTTTAAGAATTATATAAATACTACTATTTCTAATCCAATTATTATCATTATATAAATATAATTTAATAAATCCATTAATCCAAGTTACTTTATATATAATACTAAATCTTTCTTTATCAAAATATTCAATATTTTTAAATTTATCATAAGGAATCCATTCTAATAATTGTCTTTTATTTTGAGCACTTATTTATATATTTTGAATATATTCATCAATAAATTTATTTATACTATCTAATTAGAAAAATTTTATTGAAATAAATTAGAATAACATTTATTACACCATTTATATCCAATATAAATTTATTACAATTTGAACAAATACCTTTTTTTCTAAATAATAATTTTAAAGTATTAATATTATAATTATTATTTTATTAATATATTAAAATATAAAAATATAATACTTACTTAATAAATATATTCATTAAATTATAATAAATATTATTATTATTTAATTATACTTAAATATATATATTTATTAATAAAATAAAAAGTAACTTACTCTCTAATAAATTAAATTGTTAAATAAATAAAAATTTAGTTGATATTAAATTACAGTATATTACAGTAACAAGTATAATTAAATACTGACCTAATAAAATTTATTTTTTTAAATAAAAAGTATAGTTGACTTTAAATTACAGTAATAAGTATAATTAAATACTAATAATCAATAAAAATAACTGACAATCTAAATTATTATAAAAATTAAGTTGACTTTAAATTTAGTAATAAGTATAATTAAATACTGATAATAAATAAAAATAACAATCTAAATTATTATAAAAAATTTAATTGAATTTAAATGATAATAATAAGTATAATTAAATATCAATAATCAATAAAATTACTTACTATTTATTATATTATTAATTATTTTTTAAATAAAAATTTAGTTGACTTTAATTAATAAAAATATTACTCCCTAATAAAATTTTTTTTTTAAATAATAAATTTAGTTGACTTTAAATTGCAGTAACAAGTATAATTAAATACTAATAATCAATAAAAATAACTTACAATCTAATATTTTATTATTTATTTTTTTATTTAAAAATTATGTCATTTGACTTTAAATTATAATAAAAAAAATTAATATCTTACTTTCTATAATATTTTATAAAGAATATTAATATTTTATTTAACTTATGATAAATTTAATTAATTGAATTAAAAAAATAAATATAAATTATAAATATAAATAAGTTACCAAAATATCATTAATCATCATTAAATATTTTTATATAATAAATTAAGTTTAAATTAAAATATAAAAAATAAATAACTTACTCCCTATAGTATTATTGAATAAATATTTTTTAAATAATAATTTAATTAAATTTAAGTTATATAAATTAATATATAATAAAATTAAATATTTTACAATCTAAGTATTACCATTTTTAAAAAATATTAATTATTAAATATTATATAAATAAATAATAGATAAATAAAGTTTATTACCATTTAATTCTTCTAATGTAGGAGTATCTGAAACTGATTCTATATTCGAATTTGATCAATTTAATTTTTAGCAAACAAAAATGAGTATAATTAACGAATTAGTATGTGGTTAATGATACATGTATTACCTTTAGCATCCGAAACTGGCTCTAATGTAAATTTATGAAAAAAAAAGATTATCAAACCGTTAAATTAATTCATTTTAGTCATACCTTTTATTCTTTTTCCTTTTTCTTGTTTGGAGAAATCATTTTTTAGCTTCTTTATTACACTCTTACCTTTATAATTACTATTAACGTTAAACATTGTTATAACTTATAATTAAAAAAAAGTTTTTTTTAGAAAAAACTTTTATTTCAATCAAATTATCTTGTATAACGATAACAGAAATACATACTGTTAAGGTATGTAGATCTTACCGCATTTAAAAGTATGAAGTACTTTAAAAATAATTACAATTTTAATTGATTTATTATATAGATAATTTATATATTTTTGGATTAAGTTTCTTGTTATTGATTTATTATTATTTTATTTTAATTATTTAATTTTTCTGAAAATCAATCGCATACGTTACATGTCGGTAGCTATTTATTTTAGTTCAATGATCTTTTCTATTTTATTGTTATGTTAATAAAAAAAATGTTTTTTTTAGATGAGATGATACTTTTGTGTTCATTTTAGTTATTACATAATTTAATCAAAAAGGTATCAAAGTTATTTATAGAACAATAACCTTTTAAATTTATATTTCCCGTGTAACTATAACCAGCTTCAAACAATTTGTTGAATAAATAATTTCCCAACCACGAAAAAAACAAAACTGTTTTTTGATGCTTGGTGATGTAGATTTATGCAAAATATGTCCAAGATTTTTACAAATTTTTATGCAATAATTCTGTTATCGTTCTACGTAACGGAAGATTTGCCAATTCCGACGCCAAAAGGCATAAAGATTCCAACTTTACACGAAGACTGTGTTATTCTTAGTCAACTAATATTTTCGAGTTTTGATATTTATTACTCCGTGTTGGAAAATGTCATCATTTCTTTGCCAAAGGAGTAAACCCTTTGCCAAAGAAGTGACCTACAAGAATCTAAAACCGAATATTTACAATTCCATTCCAGGATTTCTGATGATTATAAGATAAATAATACTTTCCAACAAACTTGTACGTATGATGGAATCGTGTTCAATCCGAACTGTCAAATTGAAGATGTACCAATAGTGACGACAAAACCACTATATTAGAAGTTAGAGATTTAGGTACTTTGCATTATTCCATTTTCATTTTCCATTGATAAAGATTTCAGAGATTAACAATAACAGTATAACATATGCGGACAGTTGTTAAGTCGAATAACGTTCATGTGGAATTATCTGTAACAAAGTTAGATGAAAATGAATGAATAGGTTGTGTTACCGCCTCCCTGGACGTTTTCAAAATGATAAACCTCCGAATTCTGATATTGATATACCTGAACCGGATAAGAAACAAAAATCCAAACCCCCCAATGAATCCACCCCGAATCACTTGAAATCCTATAAATTGAAATTGAGTTTATCTATATTTGGAGGGATTTCTGCATCTGCTTTTTTAACCATAGTGTCAATAACATTTAGAAAAAAAATCAAGGCTTGGATGGTTTGTAATAACGAATTAAAGCAATGATGTATGAGATTATTTTTTGGTCAACATTTTGTACTTTTATTTTATATTTCTCATATGTTGTATATTAGTTCATTTCTTGGAATTAACAAACATTCAGCATGTAAATTATAATTCACTTTGATTTTGGCTAATTTTTTTCATCTTTTCCTAATTTAATATAATTCCATGTAAATCTTTATAACAAAAAAAAAGGAATGCCTATTGTTGTATTCAGTTCTTTCGTTTATGTATTTATAACAATTCATAAAGTTTTTATTGGTAAAAAAAAGTAACTATGACAGGATATTATCAAATTAATCAGTGTTGCCTCAACGTCGACGCTCTACACTTTCGTTTGATCATCCTATTTAATTAAAACTGCGCAAATTACGAAAAAATTACATGAAATTGAATGATAAAATACTAATAAAATCGGGAATTAAAATAAAATAATAACCGGTGTTACATATGCGAAATTAAAAAGTTGAAACGGCGAAATCGAAATTATCGCGAAGGTGTAAAAGGGAGGATTTCTAAGGGAATGTAAATCAAAGAAATGGCACAAGGGCAAGCGTGGCGTGGATATTGAGCTGTTTAAGGATTTCTAGCTCGTATATATATATAAAAAAAATAATAATTAGGCCAGCCTGGCGTCTTGAACATTTTGTCATACTGGCACTTTGACAACCTGGCATCTTAGCCTGACGCCCTGACAGCTGGCAAATGATCATCAAAAGAACTAACTGAAAATATCGAAATCGATTTTCAAGTGGAATTATGAAGATCAAGTGTCATCTTGCTAAAATTCTTTGCTTATTGTCTTTTCATGATAAAAGGTCTGAAACACTAAACATAAGAAAATAAAGTGATAATCATTTTCTACAAGCATTTTAATACCACCACAGATAAGATTTCTGATAATATTTTATATTCTCATTTCGTAATAAAATTTCATATTTATTTAAAAATAGCCGGTTTTACTTGACGCACACTTTTAAATAGAATTATTATGAAAACTTTCAAAGTCAGTCTGCCACAGAAATAACAGGTTAGAACTTGCCTTTTTTAAGACAAGTTTATTATGAACTATTATTCCAAAAAAAGGTATGATAAAGACTTATCAAATGTCTTGAATTAACATGAAAGATTTGGAAATTAAACTTAAAAATTATTAGCGGGGCAAAATCTAAGATAAGGCAAGATAGGAATGGAAAATATTTAAAATTTGAATCGATTTAAACTTGATTAATAGCGATTAATCGTTTCTCGAGTTTTAATCAATTTTTAGTTTCAATTAATTGATTTTATTCATAGTGAAACGAACTTTGAACATGAATTTATATGGCTTTTATGTTATTCATCTCTTTCTGGCACAAACGATTCAAAAAAATATCTTTATTTTTTTTTAATTAGTTTTATAATCATTGCAATTTTCTTTTTTTGTAGTGCTCAATCGCTTGTTGCGTATAGGGATTATTTGTATTTTTTTATCATTTTATTTTTATAATTTTATTAATTTTATTTGAGAATTTTTTTTTGTTTTTCTTATTAGGTTTCTACACATTAGCTTAGGGATGAATTGTTTAAATTAATATTTAGTTAAGGTCATTCCAGGTAGCAGCAATCGAACATTTTAACCTTCCGCTCTTTAATTTGATGTGCTCCTTTTTTTTAGTTTCATTTTTTATCTTGAATCGCTACAAAAGTAATTAAGGGCAACTTTCCTTATTTTATCTTTCTTTTATTTATTTTTACAGGTTTAATTGCTCTATAGTCGCAACTACTGCGTCACTAATAATAGATTTGATCTTTAGATTAATTCGATTTTTGTAGAATTAATTCCAATCCCTAAGGCAATCTAAATTTTGATTTGGTAACTTAAAGGGAGATATTATCAAAGTTAAGAACTCATTCAAGAAAAGAAAAAAAACGAGAAGAGGTCAAAACTAAGCAAGAAATTATTAAATGATTTAAAAGAAACGATTAGAGAGCGAAAAAGGAAACTGAAATCATTATTGATTTAGAAAAAAAGTTTAGTCAGCAAAATAAATCACAATGATAAAAGAAAAACAATTAGAAAAAAGATTAAGATTATACAATTTTTACAAAGATAAATAAGGATGACATTTTATACACCTTAGGAGGTTACAAAGATATCAAAATCTACAACACTCTATTGTGACAATACTGTAATAACTAGTTTGCCAAACTCGTAATTCTTATAACTCTTCAACTTTACCATACTCTAAAACGAAATTCATTTGCAATACAACCTAGTTAACTATTTATCGTATGTTATTAAATGACATTGAATAAAATGCAATTTAGTCAGATTTAAGAATAATCTGGTACCACCGGATATTTAAAATAAATTTCGCTAATTTCGTCGTTACCAGGTTACCACAAACGTTCGTAGTTTATTAAGCTTATCTAATATCATTCATTCTAAATTCTAAATCAGATAAATGACGTCATCCAGAATGAATAAAAATCTAAATACGTATAATTTTATACGCAATTTTTAAGAAATTAATATTATTTGATTTGGACTTATCTGTGATTGCCAATCAATGCTTTTAGTAATAAGCACTTGACTATTCTAATGACGTAAACGAGAATAACTTTTCTCTATATATTAAATATTTCAAAATCACTTCAAATCTTCAAAATTTAAATTATTTACAAAATGAATACACAACGAAAATCAAATCATTTGCACCTTTTAATTTTATTAATACCTTTGATTCCACTCCAAAGTTCATTATTAATAATAATAAAACTTTCACTTTAGGGTAATATTATTTAACCAAATATTATTATTTAAATTCATTTAATTGTTATATACTGTAGTGGAAAATAAACCAAACGAAAATGAATATACTACAGAACCTAAGCAAAGAAAAGATTTATTCTCGAGTAAGTTTATTTCTCGCTGGAGATTTAATTAGCCCGAACTTTTAAAGTTTATCAATAAATTATTTGTCAACTTCTAATTAAAGTAAGTTTATTATTTTCAATTATTAAATTTAAATTTAATTGTTAAAAAAATGATATTTACATAGATCATAAAAGCTATCATCAGTTTCATACGATTATAGTTTTTAAAACTTCCTAGTCTTTCTATGTTATTTTGTTGTAATTACTTGAATTAAACTTTATTAAATTAAAAAAAGACGGAAGAAATTATATAGGTAAAGTTTATAATAGTCAAATACAATAGTTTGAATTAAATAACTTTTATCTAGTTCGAAGAATTTGTTATAAAGCAATTTTTTTTTCATTTTTGTGACGCAGTTACTTACAATTCATTCTTTAATAAGCTTCGTGACTTTACTACGAGACTTTATCAGCATTGTCATCACGTCTGCTTTTCAGTTCGGTAAATTTTTAGCTGCCTCATTACATAAACTTTTTTTCTTTATTAATTTGATCTTTTTCTCGATTTAAAAGTTCATACAATATTTCAAATATATCAATTATCCGAAGTCAATTTTTTAATTAACAAACATCTATTTATCAGTAAACTTTCTTCAAAATCAATTATTAACTTTTTTTCGCTAATTTAAATAAAAAAAATGATTACTGTTATTTATTGAAATAAAACGTAATAATAATACGAATCTTCCGAATCAATGCACACAAACTGAAAAAGAAATTGAAAAAATAGAAATAATAATGAGTAATCAACTACCTTTTAAGATACGATCAAATAACCATAAAAAATATATTAATTAATAATAAAAAAAGAGATTAGAAAAAATAAATGGGCTTACATTTTTTCATAGCCTGATTCGAATGAAATAGTCTGGTATGGTTGTGGGCAAAACTTTAATCCAACTTGGTGAAGTCGAAACTTTGACCTTTTGACGGATTTTGAGGGTTTCATCGATTTCGATGGGTTTAATTTAACTAAATTTTAAAAGGTTGGACTTAGTTAGTAATTAACAAACCAATAAAATAAAGATGAATGTTGCAGCATCTTTCATTATGAATTTTATGAATTTGATAAAAGAACCTTAAAGGCAAAAAAGCTAAATTAAAAAATCAAAGTCTAGAACAATAATTGTATTGTTATACTCAGTTACATAAATTACTTAACCTCCTCTACATCACCTCATACTAATTGAATTTAATTGCTTTTAAACAAAAGTCTATCGTGCAAATTGGAAAAGTACAACATAACCTCTGAATTGTTAAAAAGTATTCATGAGGAATACAAATATTTTGATTTGTTTAGAATATAATCATTTATATAACAAGCAAGTTATGTTTGTCTCGAATTTTAACACGATTATTTTCATAAATTATTCGCTTTGGCTGATCAAAATATGTTCATAATAAAGTTTATTAAAAAGATATATGTATTGAATATATCAAAAATAAATTTGAAAAAATAGTAATGGAATAGTGGTTGGTGCAATAAAAAACTATTCGATTGATAATTTTAATAAGCTTATTGGAAAGATAAATATAACTTTATCGTAATAAATACGTTGCTAAATGTAATATTAATACATTTTATAAAGGTAATCTTAAAATCAATACGCAATCATTTCAATATTCTACATATGTATACCCTGTAAAAATTAGATTAAATTATATTATAAATTCTTTTTTTGGAGATGATGATTCTATTAGAATAATATCATTTGCTTAATCAGCTATAATTTTCCAGTTTTCGCATTATCATAAATTAGGCTTTTTCAAAATTAAAATGGAATATCTTGAAATTTCTCCATAGCTGTTTACAGAAGTCAGACATTTTGAACCGATCCTAACATTCCAATAATTATATGTAAAATTTGAAAACGCATTTACTCTTTTAAAATATCGAATATTTGAATATTCTATAAAACGATTTGCTTTATAGCTAGTATTAGAAGTTTAAATATTTTCAGAATTGTGATTTCTTTATACTTCAGCCCTAATAAATTCGTTATAATATGCAAAATTAAATCAATGTTTGCTCGTACAAATAATACGAAATATACTTCTGGAATAAAATTTTAACATTTTTCTTTCGAGTTAAAGTTTTCACAAAAAATATTGTCAATTCTCTTAATGAGCTAATTATTAATAGAGAAATTGACAAATTATTTGATCATATTTTTTAAGTTCTTATGCCACTAATACTATTATTCGCCATGTACTTATATAGTAGTAATATGAATTATATAATAGATAAAAAAAATGACTGGTAAAATATTATTGATAAATATAAGTGAAATTTAAGTCGTTTTTTTTTTTTAATTTGAAAACCGTGTATGTGAATTTTTTAGTCATATTCCAACAATCATTAGTTCGTTAATTTTAGTTTATTGATGTCGTGGAATTCTAATCTTCAAATATTTTTCTTATAAAGTTATAATAACCAAAAATTAATTTCTGATAAATTCAAAAAGTTTTAATCCGAGATTTATTTAACTATAATATGATGCTACATGTAGCGAATCATATTATCTTGTTTTAACAAATTCAAAATTTAGAAATATGAAACGATAAAATATAATATAAAAATAAAGTAAACAAATGATTAAATCATATATTATGGAACTAAATATAAATAAATATATTAGTATATACTGTTTTTCTTTAAAATGACCAGAGGTATTTTAAATAACTTACTAATTAAATCATCATGCGTATCTAAAAGTCGATTTAATTCATTTGTTTGTTCTATTAAAATATATATCATAATGATTAATGCAATTAGTATATTTAAAACAATAATATATTAATTTGTTATTACAATACCTTCAGCCGAAATATTTTTAATACTTATTTCGGTTTCTATAGGAGCCGAATACTCATAAGTTGAATTATCTTCATCTTCATCATCGATTCCAAAACCCATTTTTTTGAATTCTTCTAATACTTTTTTAATACTCGGTCTTTTTTCGGGTATAGAATTCCAACATTTTTCATAAAGTTCCTTATA